CTTTCATTTCAGTCGGTTTGGTGAGACTGTGAGCCGTCATTTCAACAACGTATTGAATGCTTTGTTGAGCTTGGAGGATAGGTACTTGATTCAACCAAGTGGTACTGAAACACCTCCAGAAATTAGAAACCGACGTGATTTTTGGCCATATTTCAAGGTAATTAAGTGATAAATCTTCTTTATGACGTATACACCAAAAAAAATGAATAATAAAAAACTTAAATCTACTGACAGAATTGTGTTGGGACAATTGATGGCTCACACCTCCCTGTGAAAGTCCCTTCTACTGATGTTGTTAGGTTTCGAGGTCGTAAATCTTATCACACAAAACATCCTTGCTGCATGCATTTTCAATTTGTTGTTCACATATGTATTACCTGGTTGGGAGGGTGTTGCATCGGATTCTCACATGCTTAACAATGCTCTGAGGAGAGAGCATAAGTTAGAGGTCCCTCAAGATAGTAATAAACTCTCACAAGAAACATTTTTTATTTAATAGGTAAGTATGTATGTTTTTCTAACTTTTTATATTTTAAAAACGCTTTCCAATCTTGGTATCTCAGCAACATTACCCTTTTAAGTCATAGGTGAATATTGTGTCTTCATGCTACATCTTACACAACCATGTCATGGGTGTAGATCTGTATGATTTCATCATGTGTCAGTATGATCGAGAAGCAGTTGATACTGAGGATGATGCAAGAATTGATGATTTAAATGATGATAGAGCAGACAATACACAAATCTCTCAACTATTTCAACGAGCTAGTAGAAATGAACAATCAAGGGAAGGAATTCGTCTCAGAGAAGAAATAGCTACCCAAATGAGGGCTGATTATGTATTGTATCGATCTAGGGCTCGACATTAATTTCTTTATGTTTAACTATTTCTTTCTAATATAATTTTTGTTGTATAACTTTTTTAAATAGACTGAATGTATTCAAGGACACACGAAATAGACTGAAAACAATCAAGCGGAATTTTGTAATATTAAAAAACCTTTTGAATCAAAGTGGCTTTGCGTGGAATGATTCAACCAAGACAATARATGCAACACCTGATGTTTGGACTACATATATTGAGGTAAAATAGATTAACAATACTTATACTTTAAACACTTGGTTTACAAATTATATGAAAGATGACTTATTAGTACGAAACGTGATTTATTATGAAACTCCCATGGTAAATGAGTAGGCGCATTCAGAGGCAAAGCAGTTTAGACGAAAAAGCATTCCAAACTATGACCAATTGGCATTGGTATGTGGAAATGATTAAGTGACTGGAAATGATGCCTTTACAACCAAGGAGCTAAATAAGCAAGATGCAATTTCTGCAACTGCCACTAGTGCAACACCGAATGTTGAGCATGTGTTTGATGACATTGATGAGGCTGGGAATTCTGGAGATCCTAACCTTCAAGCAAAGCCGATGGAGGGAAGTAGTTTTGCAGAAGGAAGAATTTTAGAAAAACGGAAGTCATATGCTGCAATTGTTGCTGAACAAGTGCAAGACATTGCTACACATCTTGGGAAACTTGCATCTGCAGTTGAGAGTGTGGTTTATTTAGCAAGGAAAAGGTGTATGTCGATGTTATGAGCCTAGAAGGATGTTCAGTGGCATTTTTTATGAAAGCATATGACTTCTTAGTTGAATTTGAAAGTCGAGTTATGACATTTTACGGAGTTGAGTTAAATTTGAGGAAGGCATGGCTTCAAATGAAGTTAAGGCCTCCATATTGAAGGGATGGATAAAAGACTTAAACTATTATAACTCACATTTATTAACAAACTAGGTACTAATTATATATGACAAAAACTTGTTTTGATGGTTGAGCTTTTGCGTCCATTTTATATATTTTTTGGGGATGCATTGGCAATTTGATTGTTGTCCCTTTTTTTTTGCGATGGTCAATCTACTTGTATTA